CTGTAGGGCCATGGTCTCAGGTTGTGGACATCCGGGATGCTGCAGTTGTTAGTTTTTGCATATAGTAGACATCTGGGATGCTGCAGTTGCTAGTTTTTGCATATACTGGTCAATTGTACTTGGACCAGAGGAAGGCTTTTCTAGCCCCCTGAGCCTCACTAGTGGAGCCTGTGCCATAATGAGTCCCTGACGTGGCTGTGCCCATGTCAACAATATACATTCACTCTTGATTTTACTCATTCCCTGGGATTATAGGACCAGATTATTATGTCTTGATAAATCCGATAAGTCTGAGTGTCTCTTGTCATTACTAGCATCACTTGTAAAAATCAAGGTGCTAGCCATCCCATTTCACATTGGTACCCAAGATGCAGTGCTATGGATGATTGATTGATTGATAAATAAAACACTGATTGGCTAGTAGCCAGGCAGGAAATATAGGGTGGGACAAAGAGGGAGGAGAATTCTGGGAAGTGGAAGGCTGAGGCAGAGAGACGTTGCCAGCCACTGTGATGAGTAGCAAGATGTAAGTTACCGGTAAGCCACGAGCCACGTGGCAAGGTATAGATTAATAAAAATGGGCTGAGTTTAAGTGTAAGAGCTAGACAGTGGTAGGCCTGAGCTAATGGCAGAGCAGTTTAAGTAATATAAGCGTCTGAGTGATTATTTTATAAGTGGGCTGTGGGACTGCGGGGGGCTTGGTGGAACCCAGAGAGAAACTCTCCAGCTACAATGCAGAATTCATAGAAATCTCAAAAACAAATAAACAAACACACATAACTTTTGTCTGCCCAGTGGTTAAGAGCACTGGCTGCTCTTCCAGAGAGCTCAAGTTTGTTTCCCTAATCTGGCTCACTGGTTCCCTAATCTGGCTCACTGGTTCACTAATCTGGCTCCCAATTATCCATAACTCCAGTTTAGGGGATTCAACATTTTTTTATGACGTCTGAGGATGATGTGCATATACATACATGCAGACAAAGCAGTCACATACATAGCAGAAAAATTAATAAATCTATTAAAAATAGAGACTGAAATGCCAGGTGGTGGTGGCATATGCCTTTAGTCCCAGCACTGGGGAGGCAGAGCCAGGCGGATCTCTGTGAGTTTGAGGCCAGCCTGGTCTACAAAGCAAGTTCCAGGACAGGCACCAAAGCTACACAGAGAAACCCTGTTTCAAATAATAAATAAATAAATAAATAAATAAATAAATAAATAAATAAATAAACAAACAAACAAATAAATAAATAAAATAAAAATAGAGACTGAAGGCAGCACTGTTTTTAGTGTCATTTGAACCCAACATAAATGATCTTCCTTCTGTGGTGGATGCTTGCTCCCCGTCTACCTCCCCCATTGTCTCAGACTCTATGAGCAGTCTCTTGGTGCATTACTGTGAGGCATGCAATTTAAGGACAACTTTTAACAATCTGCCTTTGACTTTGCCTGTGGATTAAGCAATGAGCTTGCATGAGTGTATTGCTAATTCGGTTTTTAATGCTGTGGCCATCTGTTACGCTAATGATAGAAGAACCCATGTAGGTTAAAAAGTGACTAAGCAAACTAGAGTGCCCTGCACAGCTTGTAGGGAAGAATTTGGCATCGGAGGGCAAAAGCAGTGACTTCAGGAATGACTTTCAACTTCAGCATGGTGGTTGAGGC